TATCAACATTTATGGACGGGCTGAACACATATATACGAGCAAAGCAATTTCTATAAATATCTAAAATCAACGGCTGTAATAAAATAGTTTTTCCTGAGCCCGATGGTGCTGATATAATCATAAATGCAGGTAATTTAGGTGCTACTTCATATTTAGACTGTTTAAAATCATATTCTTTAACATTGATAGGTTTAACTATAGGAGTAGTCATTATTATTAATACTTAGAAAAAATATTTCGTTATTGATATATGAGCGATTATGACGACTATTTAGATGTTATAGATGAGATAAAGAAAATAGATATAATAAAAACACCAAGAGACAGAATGTGTTGTTATAGTTTATTAGATTTTTTGAAGGCAGTTTGCTATTACTTGAAGAATATTTAAAAGTCTAAGTAATATAAATGAGCGAAGTTTCAGAACAAAGCAAAGATAAAGGATTTCGTATCAATACTAAAAGGTAAAAGTCAAATAACACCAGAAGAGTTAGAAGAGCGTGTTGAGAAAATTGAAACAGATATTGATTTAATTAAAAAAGATATAGAAGATATAAATAAATATAAGTTTAAAACAGATTTCAGGGTTTATCTATAATGTATAATGACAGGGCAAGTATGCCAGTTTTGGTTTTTGGAAGAAGGAGAAAAATACCCCTATGATAGCAACCCCAATGTCTCACTTGAATGAACTCGTGAAAGGGAAGTAATGAGATACATTCAATAGCACCACATAAGATGGTGCTTAATTAGTTTGTTAAAGCATTAAGTAATTAACTTTATGATTTTTATTATAAAGCGAATTATATGACTATATATACTGACAAAATCATACTGTCATTCTCTAATAATTATGATGGATTTAGTCATAATTTTTTGGAAGTTAGAGTTTGTCCGGTATGTAATGTATGTAAAGAAATGGAAAATTTCATAAGGTTACAGAAACACAAAGAATACGATATCGTATGTAGGAGATGCTTAGATAGGCAGAACGATAATAGAAAAAACGCAAAGTTTTAAAAGTTGTAAAAAATACTCTAAAATTTTTCTATGAGCGATGTAGATGACGCTTCGGCAGATGCCTCGCGAGGCTCTCGCGACGTTGTAAAACCAATCAAGCACATCAGCAGTCAAAAGGTTTTAGAAAAGTTAGAACTCACTGAGAAAAAGATCAACGAATTACTAGTTAAACCTAAACCGGTTAATAAACCAATGGGTCAAGATAGTGATGTGTATAAGAATAAGAGAAATGTTTATGTGAATAAATTGAATAACAAGGATATTAGGTTTCCTAAGAAGGAGACATTAGAATATTATGAGATTAAGTTTGACGACCAAGAGAGAGCGTATTAGATAATGTCAAACCAAAACTTCGCAGAACCAAGCGGAATGGCAAAACTTTATGTGTGATAATGAATGGGTATACACGAATAGCATTTTACTAATAATAATTAGTAAAAGTCTATAGGATATGGGTTATAATCTTTTGGGTTTTTCTTTTAGGGTCTTACCCCACACCTCATATTAGGATATGGGTTATTTTATGGTTGAGGGTGGAGTTTGTTTAGGTGCTTTGGGTTTTGGATTGTGTTATGGATTGTTGTATTTATTGGTGGGTTGCTTTGTTTTGGGATTATTGCTTTTGTGTTGGGAGGTGCTTTGTGTATTGGTGTTTTGGAAGGTTGATTTTGGGAGGCGGGTCGAGAATTGAGGTAAAAGCGTAGGGGGGGGTATAGAATGTGAGGTGTGGGGTTAGCTGCTGCTTGCTTTCATATCCCCCAGGAAGTCGAGCAGCATAAACTTTAATGCTCATGTACGGATGAGTCTCAGGTCTCAGTTCCATGCGTGCTTGTCCCAGTTGCTGGTTCAAAATCTAAACTTCCAATGCCAGGTGCTCCCTTTGGTGGGATCCTCTTTGGTCACACGCAGTGCCAGCGGCCGTGGCAACGCTCTGGGGCGATTTCCGCGGTGGCCTCTTCGTGGCAGGCTGGGTGACACGGCATCAGGAGGCTTGTCAAATCAGGACATGAGACAATCGCCGTGTTCATTGCTTCGATTTTGATATGCAGCAGCGTGATCGAGGTGACCGTGCACGGTTTCCTTAGCATCCCTGGAGATGCCAAGTGCAGTTCGTCAGGTGCGCTTCGCTGGATGATTGTTCAACACATCACCTTCGCAGTGAACTCCTTGGCACATGGAGAGCAGGAGGAGTCACAGGGTGGAGGTAGTGGGGCAGGCTTAGGAAGATGTACTTGGCTTGCTGCTCTGATCATCACCGATGATCTGTGCTCGTCTGCAGGAGGAAGATCCGTATGCTTTTGATCCGACGGCTTTTGGCATTGGGCCGAGGGTTGCTGTCGCAGCAAACATTTGCATGTTTTTTTGTATGTGTTTGCACTGTGTTTTTTTACTACTGCGGTGTTCCGACTTAGCAAGAACCCCAAATCCCAATCCCTAGTCTGTTCATCTTGATCCTGTTTGTCTACGGACCTCGCCTCGCATTGCCGAGTGTGAGCGTCAAAAGTCCGTGGTCTGGCTCGTCCGAGAACGAGAACAAAAACCCTGGGGATTGAGCGAGTGTGCGAGTCGAAACCTTAGGCTGAAAGGGGTTGCCTAACCGGCAGTGAGCACGCGAACCGAGAGACCTCGTCTGGCTGAGTTCCGAGTTGCGAGAGCGTAAATCATGCATGGGGATGTGGAGCGTGAGAGGCGAACACCACGCGTTTGCGGACAAAGAGGGCCGTTAAGACACCTTATCGTGCAGTATCAGGTAATGCCAAAGCAAAAAACACTGTCCCGCAGCACGCACATCGCCACTTCGTTGTAGGTCCAGGGCTCAATCCGGGCATTGGCATCCTGACAGTACTTTGTCCAGCGAAGTGTTCAGGTAAGCGTGCTGGTTTCCTTGCTGGCGCTGGGTGAGGGCTGGCACGACTATCATCACTTGTTCCCATGGGACTACGCCGCTGCAGATGCTTAGCTCAAGAGACCCCGCGAAACGCGGAAAAGCTTTGCTCGGCTGCTCCAGGAGTTGGATGCTTGGGACCAGTACAACCCAACGAAGGCCCGGCGGACATGACACGTTCCAGGCCGCTCAAGGCCACAGTGTCTGGTCAACTACACGTCGTAAGAAAGAAGTTGGGAATTTGAGTGCTGTTCGTCGTGACAAAGAACACGCAAACTCTGAAGTTCTGTCGTACCAGGACCCATGACAGCTATCAGTCCTTAATGGCAGCCCGTCAGACAGCAAGAGGCAACCTAGTGCTCGGCTGTTTTGGTGAAGACAATTACTGATGTTTTTGTTTGGGAACAGCAACTGCGAAATGCCTTGGCTTCCTTTGTGGTGTCCCGCATAAATACATCCCCGGGTTGTTTGATTTGATTGCCCCTAGGGCACAGACAGGTCATGCCAAAGGTGTAGGCCACGCGTGATGTCTCCATCTCAAGTGTTGATTCTGCGCGAAGCGCGGTAGCATCTCCTCCAGGTGGGCACTGTGTTTCACTTGTTTCAAGGTCTTCATTGACTGTTGCAGCCTAGTCGGCTTGGCCAAGGACCCGTACTGCCACGGTCATAATTAGCCCATCTGACAAAGACTTCTTTCCTGCATCGCCCGCCCTCGTTCACTTCCGGCCGCAGGACCGGCGGCGATGCTCTCGACGTCTGCAGGAGCGAACTGGTTGCTGTGTCGGCTTTTTCACAGCATTCGCCGAAACCTTCGGTGCCCAAACGAGGACCTCAGGCGATCACAGCTCCTGTGCGGCTCTGCCCCTACAGAAGGACATGAGCTCGAATTCGAGTCCTGCCTGCATTCAAAGCTAAGCCGACCGGCAGGTGTGCCCTTACGAGCCCTAATCTGCATCCGAGTTTGAACAACTGGCCTCTTGACATCTGAAGACTTTCTGCACCCAGCCTAGGAGGTCGTTGGCCTCCCTTTTCTGCGCTACAAGCGCCGCGTCGACGGTTCGCGCACCGCAAAGCAGAAATAGATGGACACAGCCACGATGGTGACCGGAATCCAGGTCGAGTGTCAGCTCGCATGATCGGATCCGTGACCCCAAGTTTCTCAGTAATTGATTCTGCTGACATGGTGCCATTGCCTAACTGGTCCCATGTCCCATGCATGCATCGCCGGTGACGAGAATCGTCGCCCAGCTTCCAGGGATCAGAGGCCTCCCTTGCAGCTAACCAGCCGTACCGCGCTACCAGCAAGATATCTTATGGTCGATCTGACCCTGTTGCGTTGTTTTGCGAGCATCGTGTTGCCGCTCCTTACTTAGCCTCTGAGTCCCGTCGTGCTGTGCACAACCCTGATCACGGTCCCAGACATGAGACCGACTCAGCGCGAAGCGCTGCTCCGTGGACCGTCCGACCCAGAGAGATGCGCACGGTCAAAGAGATGCCCTTCAGACAGGCATAGTGCACCAGGCCGAGCAACAAAACCACAACCCGCAGAGTCAGAGACCGTGGTAACGGTCCTGAGTTTTTTTGCGCGATCGACTCCTGAGAGGTCGGTGTTAAGATGTGGGAGCAACGGAGCCATCGCCTAATGATGAGGTGTCGGGTTGAAGATGTGATAAGAAACCAACAGCCAAATTACGTGAGGGCGACTGCCATGGCCAAATGTAGGGTAAGGTTTAAAGAGGAGATCAGCCGCTGTCGCCAGGTTAGGAGTCGGATTTCTGATGAGAGATCCACCGCCATCGCCGAATGAGGGGTTCGGGCTTAGGATATGGGATCAGCTGCCATGCCTAATGAGGGGTCGATTTGAAACATTGGACCCATGCACGCGAGTCCTTGCGCATGCATGGATGCATGCATGCATGCATGCTTAGGCTTAATGAGCACCTCACACATAAGCGCCTATAGCCTGTACTCTACGTACTCACACACGTACGTACACGCATACACGTCACGTGCCCATTTACCGTGGACGCGTGAGCCTGTGTAGGCGAAGTCGGGAAGGCCACATGATGTCAAGTTGATGTGTGTGCTGGTCCAGGCAGTGGCAGATCTAGCCGGAGAGTTGTACAGCGATCTGTACATGGCCCGTGCCGAAGAGCGATGGGTTTTGTTGCCAGAGGGCAAGCTGAGTTGACTCTGATGAATTACTTCCTGCCAATTTTCGGGCATTTGTGCTTTCCGTCTGAGTCTTTCTGAAGTGAGGGAGTCATGTGTCTTTACACTTATTCACTTCGGGTGGATAGCTGATTCAGCATCCGAAGGGGGCGTGGCAATGAAAGGGCAGTCAGTGTTTGACATTTGCCCAGTCCCACCTCACTCTGGAGAAGACCACAGTCAGCATGTCGACCTTGGCGTGACACCCAGCAAGCTGGAGCAGGCACGATTGATGTCAGCTTTCCTGTGACTCTGCAACGAGTCGGGATAACACATTCACTACTTCAAGAAGTCCCGAGAACTGTTTGCTCATCTACGCATGTCCTCAGTACTATAGTGCATCTGCATAAGGAGATGCTCGAGATGGCCAACCTGCTGTGGAGGCAAACAGGGCGGTGGAGATGGCGAGGTAGCATGTTTTGAAGCTAGAGTTCTGGGCTGAACTTGGCCTGCAAAAGGGAAGTTTGCGGGGACAAAGGGTGTCTTGTTGTCCTCCGTATAGTAATAGTCCTGATGGTGTCCTTTGTAGTCTTGATTCGGGTGGTGTGAAGCTTTTGAGGGTGACTTTAGAAGAACGGTTTCTTCGCGACTTCACGCGACGAGTTCGAGGAAATATAATCGTTTGGCGTACACCCTTGCAGCAAGTTTCCTGATCTGTCCGGAAGTGGCCTGACCATGCAGTTAGTTGGCGGCAGCAGATTCGGTCTAGGCAGCGGCAAGAGCTCATCCAGTCCGGCGACACTCAGGCTTCTGCATGAACTCAGTCCGAGCTTTGCTTGAGCATTTGCTACTGCACGCGTAGATTGCCTGGGGAGATGCTCTACAGTAGAAGCCGGAAAGTTGGAACATCAGTATCCCCGTGCCATTAAAGTAAAGTATAGGGAATCCAGCAAGAATCGTCCTGAGTCAATGTTCCAACTTTCTGGGGTTCCCTGTAATATTGGCGGCAGGGACGACTAGCGACGGTTTGCGCAACCACAGCGAATGGAAAGCTTTTGGAGAGGGATCTGGTAGCCTCCAGTTTTCGGAACTTCTTTTGAGCTGCTGACTTTTTCACGCATTTCCCGAACATGCTTTCCTGTGCCGTATCTGTTCTAAAGCGATGGCTGCTCTTCTGGGAATTTTTCCTAGCCTAGATGCATGGTATAGCAGTTTGTTGAAGCCTGTTACAAAGTGGACGAGACACCTGGTGACAATGGGCGGACTATGCGTCAAACTCCCACCTGCGCAGCAGTGTAGGCCAACCGCCCCGCTGTGACCCAGACATTCTTACCGTGCCGTTCTGCTTGTGCGATTTTCACCGACAGCAGGTCCATGTGTGGCCTGAGAGGGCGAAAATATGAGCCACAGCGCCCACTAACACATAACGTCATCGGAGGATTTTATTCCGTTGGACATCAGCCTTCGTACACAGGTTGCAGCGTCGGTTTCTTTGCAGGGCCACGCTATATGCCATCCCGCGCAGTGTGTCTCTCTCTCTCTCTCACACACACACACACACGCACACAGAGACAGAATGCAACCGGCGGGTACATACTTTCCACGCCTACATTCGCTGACCTCGTGGCACGTGATGGCGTGTGCGGCCGCGAGATTAGCCCAATGTACCTCGGTTATATACTTCGTGCCATCCCGCACGTGCCAAAGCCGTCCAAGTTGTCGCACCACCGTTATCATCGCGGCAGTGAGGCTGTACTGCGCATGCCGGTGAACATGCCGTCGCCAAACAAATGCGTCCAAGAATTATGCTGTGTTGCGGGAGGTATTCGGGAGGTCTTGCCAGGTTTGGGCTTCATCAACCTGCGAGAGACCAGAGCTGCCCAAGTTTGCGCAGGACATGTTCCGAAAAACCCTCGAAGAAGTGATGCGGAAGCGGCAGCCAGCACCTCAGTGATCTGCAAAACGAGGAGGATGGCTTCCTGATTCAGACTGGTGGTAGTGTGCACAAGTGACCTGATCTACGTGCAGTCCTAGAACCGCAGCGCCTGCAGGGTGGCCGCCGGGAAGAACTTCTCGCATGGGACTACGACAGAGGCATCGGTCAATTTCTTTCGGGTTCCCTGTGATGAAGTCGGCCGGGTCGGGACTTCTTGTGAGATCAACAGGATACACAGGTATTTCTACTCGAAGCCAAATCAGAGCGTTTCGCTTTCAGGGTTGTTCCGTTATTGTGAGGGAGACTCTGTGAAGAATTCGGCCAATAACCTGCAAGGAGATCCAGGAATACCATCCCGATGGCCACCTTTGGTTTGGGCCTTGGGCGAAGTCGTGTGGCAGCACTCGGGAGAGGGGAACATCGAGTGCCTCGTCTACAGACTCATTGAATGGGATCTCGCGAGAGTGAGCAGAGCAAAAGAAGTTCGAAGAGCAACGGGATGGCACGCAGCAGAGGCCATGCGGCCACGGTACGGGCTCTGCTTGGTTCCGCGGTTTTTGCCGAGACACTGTGGCTTCCCAGCCGACCAAGGCTCGCGGGCAAGCATGGAGAGTGGCACAACCTGCGGCCCAGAGCGAGGCGCCGCATTTGGCACTCCCATGAAAAGGGACCCGTCTGGAAGCCTCCTGTCAGCGGTTTGTGGGGCAATCCACGTCCGCTCGGCTCCGCCAGGTTCCTAGAGTACATGAGAGGGCCGGGCTACGAGCCCACTTTCTGCAACGAGTCCAAGGCTCCGCTGGCCGGTCTTTGGTCTTGCCTTGCTTGGACATAAAAACGTCGGGACGTAGGCCCTTGAAAGCCTTGGAATCTTCGAAGAGGGGTGCACGAGGTGCATGATTTGGCTTGCAAGGCATCGAGGTTTGATGTCCGAAGCTTTCTATTGAACCTGAAGAAGGTTGCCCAAAGTGAGGCCAGCTTGCATTGTTTGCCAGGCGCCTATGCCGCGCTGCCTCACCTCGGACCTGAATCTAGAGCAGTACATGATCACGAGCTTCATGTCTTCTTGCATCTGACAGCATGCAAATTTTGCAAGCATTGGCCCCCGCTTCGCAGGAAGCTCAGCGAAAGCAGAAAGACTACTCCCTGATCCGACTGTTCAGCATACCTGAAGAGGACAGCCGTTGCCGGGAGAGTTATTTCGTCAGCAGTTAGAGGGCAAGCAGTCGGCCAGATCTTCAACGTCTTTTCCCCATGCATTTAATGGAAGTATGATGCGTCCTGGCCTTTGCTCAGGAGAAAGGGCCCGTCCCTAAGTTGGGGGTCCTTGTGCTGGGCTGGCGACACTTGTGCCTACTGGACCCAAAACTGACCAAGATCTGAGCAAGGCCGAGGATTTACAGAAGGTTACAGCAGAGCGGCCTGCCGCGATGTATCAATGTATAGAAGATCAAAATTAGCTGAATAATTTTGCAGGCCTGCCGCCGTTCCTTCGACCTCTGCCTCCTACACTTCTAAGTTTTTTTGCAGTTCCGCAACAACAACGTATGCAAAGCACTAGGTAATGCTAGAATCAGCTGCTAGAAGCTTTGCATGTCCTAGTCAATGCTGATCCCAGCCTGCAGTGGAGTGCTCTTGGGAAAATCTGAGATGCAAGTGCAGCTTGTAACAACGTGAGAGTTTTTCCGGGAGATCGCTTGGAAGTACAGCAGACAGCAGAGGCTGCATCCTCTTCTGCTCCTCGAAGCTAAAGCTGACGGATTTGATGCTTGCAACTCAGAGCCAAGGCCCATTTTCACGAACCAGGACGGCGAGAGGGTCTTCGTGCACCTCGGCGCTGTCGAAGCTCTTGGCATCTCTTGGCCATTCTGGATTCAGGTCCCAATCTGGTTGTCCAGCCGAGTGAATCACGAACACCCCGACACAGCTTCTCATGTTACCATGCCATGTCACTTGAACACCAGTCTTTCGCGCGGCTGTTGTGCGGCATGCAAGGTACGAAGCACTGGAGGCCGGGAGATCTTTCAGAATTGGGTAACTTTACGAAGAAGAAGAAGCAGAGGAAGGAGAGAGAGAGAGAGAGAGAGAGAGAGAGAGCAAGTGCTGCACCTTTGCTCGGGGGCCTGTACCGCCTCCTTGCATCGGGGGGGAGGTGTGGGGTTGACCCAAGGCTGTATACCTTGGGGGAGCCTGCACACTTTCCCCAGCGGTGCTTGAGTCGCATACCTGCCGCCACACTGCTTAAGGACACCAGGTTAGCACCAAGAAGGGGGCGAGCCATAAAGGTGACCGGCAAGTTCGTGATACTAGTGTGATACTACTTGCAGTGCGACTACCTAGGGACTGCAAGATCTTCGTCCCAGACGCTTCACACACAACGGGGACGATCCTCTGCATCAACGACCTTCGGGGAAAATCTGACGAGCATCGTGAGGACAACCTCTTCGCTGGACGGGGGAGATTGAGTACCGGAAGATCGTGATTTTGGCAAGGACGAGAAGATAGTGAAGAACATGGGGAAGAAAGGAGGAGGAGGTAAGAAAATCTGCAGAATATGCAGAGAAGGAGGAGGACTGTGCCAGCAAGGTATGAGGAACTCCCACGAGCGATCTGACCCGCAATGCAGGTTCCATGGGTCCGAGGCAAGGGTGAACCGGCCAATAGTGTGGTCGAATGGCAGAAGCACGGCAAGCCAACCACAGCCAGAAAGGGGAAAAAAAGGAGAACGCGCGAGACTGCAACACATACCTTTCGAACAAAAGACAGCCTACGTGACCCCGGGGGGGTTGGACTACACTACCTGCCAGGTCCTCTCGACAAGTGGGCAGACCGTGAAGTGATCCAAGAAGAAGGGGGATGGCGCCACAGCCAATCCGGACAACCCCTGACGGAGAAAGAGCAAGAAGAATACGAGCAGCTTCGCAAAATGCACCGAGCACGATGCCGAACAGCAAGACACGCAGACAAGCTGGCCAAGATCGCAGACAAGTACCTCCCGGATGTAGCACAGGAGACCAGAGCTTATATGATCCGTTTCCCGCGGGAAGTCAAGAAGCTCCTCGACAAGTTCCGTCGAATAAGACGACAGATCAGGGCGAGAAGGGGGACGGCAACTCCGACCAGCCGACCAGCGCACCAAGCACCACAACGGAGCAGCAGAAGAGCGATGAGGCTACAGTGGATGCGAAAAAAGAGGGGCAAGCAATGGGGGAAAAAGCCCGCAGGCCGCAGCAGCAACAGACCTACACGAAGAAGCCCGCCACGGGGAGACAGAGAAGACTGAGCCGACGAGGATGTCGATTGGGGGAGCACTACTCATCAGAGGAAGCGGAGTCCAACGATAGCGCCGAAGAGGAGGGGGATGCAGCACAGCACCGTGAAGCTCGCGAACCGCCGCGCTCACTTGGTCACAAAGACCAAACGAGCCGGAAGGGGAGCCACCACACAAGCGCCGCTTGGGGGCGATGAGGCCGAATGAGCCAGAAGGAGAGCCGGGGGGACATGGCCATGTTCGGCTTGTCCCCAGTCTGCAGTGGCAAGTACAACAAGTACAACAGCACATGCGACGCTACCAGACAGACAGCACCTCGAAGTCGGCAGTGAGCGTAAGGCAAAATTTTTCCACCACGGTGTGGGGGAGCCCGCCAGCACTAATGTCCTGCGTTTTGTGTTGCTTCGCAATAAGGGCGGGGAACCACACAATTGAGCTGGCGAAGCCAAGCCTAATTAAAGACGGGCTGCCCTCTGTGCACTTACTGCACAACACGGCACTGAGATAGAGTCCCGGTGTCAATTCAGCTCTGGAATAGGAACTTTGTTTGGGATTTCACACCTTGGGGGGAGCCAGCCTGCAGTTGCTTTACTCTGGTACTATGTAATGAACTTTTTGTGTTGGGCACTGCTTGGTCCTCGGAGTGTTTGCACTTTACAGGAGGCTGCCACCGAATGCTGGAACGAGGTGGGGGGAAATTGCCTGGCGAGGGACTAAGGAACTTGCCGTAGTGGGCGCGGTGATGAGGCCGGGATGCGGGCTAAAGTTCGGGGTTAGGGCGGGTCCCTGCCAGGCAATCTATGCAATCTCCACAGGCCACACCAACCATGGGGGAAAAGCCTCCGAACATTTTGACCCCAATGCCCGCTCTTCCACAACCGCGGAAGAGACGGGGGGGCCTTGGCCCGGGTCCAGGGTACTGGACTTAACCCCGGAGAAGCGAAGCGAAGCGAAGCGAAGAGAGAGCAGCCCCCTGCACCATAGCCCTGGCGAAAGAAAGAGAGAGTAGCCATGTTGGCTCAAGCCACGAGCGGTTCAAGGGAGGTGGCCGCTCTGTCTTCTCCGCTTCTTCCACGACGTCGACTTCGGTGGCCTTGAACTCAGCACGATCATCGCTTTGCCCGGGACCTCTTGAAGTTCGGTTCCCGAGGGCAAGGACAGGCGGGTTGACTCCCTTCCATAGATGAACAGCTGCCACACCGTCACGGTCGCACCTCAGACAGCATCATGGCTGGAGTTCCCGAGGCGGCATTCGTTGGCATTTCCAACATCAGTGCTACAGGGGGTGACCCCAATGATCCGTCCTCGCCAAACCAGCGCCAGTGCACCGGAAGGGAAACCCTCACACTGCAAATGCTGCGAGACACCCGTCGCGGCCAGCTAAGCCGTGAGCGAGCTGAGTTAAGAAAGGAAATCAACGCGTCACCGCACGCGTGGACGCCATGGAGAAAGGGTTCGAACAACATGGCAGCAGGACACTCCAGGCGGTGGAAACCCTAACCACCGCTCAAGCAGAACACGGTGTCCAGGCGGTTGCCGCCGACACTGCCACCCTCAGGCAGAGAATAGCGGCCTGGAGACGAAAGTCAGGGAAAGCAGCCGTTTGGAAACACTCCTTCCGCCAATGGCTCGGGGGAACACCAGCACTCATGATGGGCGTGTGGGTGCTGGACACCCTGGCAGCAGATGTGCTGGACAAAGCCAATGCCATGGCTCCTGACCTCAAACTAGAGATAAACATGAAAGACGCATTCGTGCTTGGAGTCAGTTGCATTCGCCGCGTCAGCCTTGCGGGGGTGGACTTCGGCACTAAGCCAGATGGCAATAGGTCTGATGGCCATAGGATTGCTGCCTCGCTACCATTTCCACACCTACATGTGCATCTACAGCAGGGTGCGGCTGCGTTGACCTTGCCGCCATAGCCTGCAGCCTCCGAATGCAGCAAGGCCAGGAGAGAGAACATGCGAGCTGCTCCTGGCGGCCCTACGCCGAGAAGACGAGTCGCGCTGGAACTGGGGATTTTTGCCCCCCATCTAAGGGGACGTGCCCCTCCGGCCCCAGCCACCACTGCCGAACCAGCCGGGGGAAACCCCTTGCCTGCAACGCTCCTGGAGAGCGACGACCCATGGGATGAATGGGCAGCCCTCCGAGAAGATGAGGCCTTTGATGAGCACTAGTGAGGGGGGTGCTGAGAAGCAGGAGGTTGCCTCTTAGTTGCGATGCAGGAGGATTCCTCCCCAGGCGGTATGTGGCCCAGACTGAGTGTGTGATGTTTTGCTTACTTTATTTGGGTTTCTTTCCACCGTGCACTTCCGAAAATGTGAGGGCCCAGTGATTTGCTTCTGTATCTCGGACTATGGTGTCTTAAGTTACTGATGTCCTGCTTGTCAACTGTTCGGGGTTGCCCTGGTGCGAAAGAAACCACAACTGTGTGCAGGGCAAGTGGACAATGAAGTTCAAAAGGCATGTGTTGTTGGAATACCAGCTAGCCATAGCTAGCCGGTAGTTGCTGCTCCGTGACTTCACTCTGTCGCTTTTTCACCTGGCTTCCCCGAAACATTTGGGGGGCGCAAAACCCGGGAAGAGGGTCGCTCCCTCTTCCTCTACCCTCGCGAAAGAAGAGAGAGAGAGAGAGAGAGAGAGAGAGAGAGAGAGAGAGAAAGAGAGAGAGAGAGAGAGACAGAGAGAGACAGAGAGAGAGAGAGAGAGAGAGAGAGAGATAGAGAGGAGAATGTACGCACACCCTCTTCCGTTATCGCATACTTTAAGGTTTCGGCTCATCAGTGTGCTACGATCGCTACTCAGTCCTCCAAATCCCGATAAAGACAATCCGGTGGGCTGGAAGCCCGGAGGATTTGAGCGTCCCCTATGCCCGGGAGAGAAAGAGAGAGAGCACGGCCATGTGGTCAGCTCCTGTGCTCCAGGAGCTCCTGCAGATCCTCGCTGGCAGCGCGCAGGCCCGGCCCGGGTGGTCTCGGGAAGAGACTCAAATCGGGGTTTCAGAAAACGGGCACCTCCGGCTATTCTTGAGGAAGATCCCGACTTGAAGTATCAGATCAATGGCCTCGAGCTTAAGAGCCATGGTGCGCTGATATGTGCACGCGTGTGATTATTTCTGTGCTGCTACCGAGGCAGCAGCTTGATGGAGCTCAGGAGCTTCACCAGCATGTCATGTCATGCCTCTGTGGAACAAACAGCCCAGACTCGGCCCGAATGATGCAACACCCCGCACCCCCGCACCCCCTGTTTCAATAGCTGCACAAGCATACGGCGACCGCACTCAAGTCGATTGCCACTTTACGCCAGCGATGCTTGGTGGCTGCCTTGGGCTCTCTCAGCGCCACTCTGGATCAACAGCAGAATTGAGCATTTTCCACACAAAGCCGACGAACGTGTCTGGCGCGAGAAGACCTGCAGGAACAGCTTCGTCAAAATCCAGAAGGCGATGATGCAGGAGAGAACTTAGCCAGCTGTTGACCATCTTGCTTCCAGCATGCAAATCCACGGTCACTCTTTGGGTCTTAGAGCAGGCAACACCTCCGTACCATTCCAACTCAGAGCTGTAGACAAAATTTTCCGAGGATATCAAAGATGGTCCGGTCCTCGGACAGTGCTTGCAGCTCCGACCATAGAGTGGGACAAGTTTGCTCCAGGTTGTGCGCTGACCTGTAGTAGGATGCCCGTCAAAGTAAGTAGGTTGAAGGCCTTCCCTTAAGTGCAGCTCCAGCCTTAGCCGTAGCCACGGGCGACGGTTCCCAGGCAACGCTTCCAGTCGCATGCGGGGAACAGTGATGGACCTCGAGGCTGGATTTTCTGTGCCTGGGAGTCCTTGGCACCTTGGTGTGCTTTTTGTCTGCAGGATGGCAGAAACATGGTTGGCCTCCTGCAAAACCAGGCGATCTTGCAGCTGGCTTCGTGTCTCTCCTTGTCAGTATGTGCTGCATGAAGATCGCAGGGCTAATTCTGGCACGGGATTGTGGCCAAACTGCAGGCGATTCGCTTTATTGCAGGTCACATCGACCACCAAAGAGCTCATGGCCTACATTGCCTGGGGCGCAGAGCCTCTACGGATCGCATCCTGAAAGATGTGTGACATCGTTACCGCAAAGGATGCCGTGGTACAGAATCGCTTCAAGCACGCGAGGTTGGGTACAGTTTGATATTCGGACTCGGCGCTTCATGCCCTCAAGACTGCGCAGAGTTTTCGAGGTACCTGGAAGAGACGAAGACCAGGAACAACACCATCCTAGAGACAAGGAAGAACTACGAAGAGATCCTGCAGGATGGCCCAAGTCCCACGTGCTGCTTTTGCTGCTGCTCGTGCTGGTCTCTCGTACGTCCCTCGAGCAATGTCGGTACTCGTAGAGTGGTACTGAAGAGCAGGCTATAGCCTCTATGGTAACAGACGCGGCTTGGTGCAATACAATTCTGTCAGGAGCAGGTCGCCGGAGTCCCGGAAAGATGGGCCCAGACTGGCTACTACTACTTGCACATTGTCACACTTGCTAACACTTCGCTCGCATTCCGGAGTTGAGAGTTGAGTTGCTGCCATCTACACGTGCACCAAGGACACAATGAAGAGGGTTGTCCGCGCCGCTCAGCAAGGGCCCTGATCCAATCCAATTGTTCGGGCTGTTTAAGCGGTTTAGCTGGGCTTAGACAGCTTCGGCATCTCGGTCGGTCGTCCGCTCTGCACAACTGCATCTTCCGCTCCCTCTCCCCGGTTTCCGCAAATCGCTTCTGACATGCATAGTGACCATCCAGGAATTGTGACTGCCCGAGTCTGATCACACTCGCTGCCGGGAACTCGGCTTCTGGAGTCTGAGCTGGCAGTCTGCCAATGCCTCGATGCTTGCAGCTGCAGCAAGAGCTGGGAGTTGCATTGTGGCATTGTGAGGGTTGTAGCAGCTATGCTGCAGTGGTTGAGCGGATGCTGTGTCTACCGGACGATGAGGCGGGTCAGCGATCGGAGAAGATAGCCTTCCTCCGGATCCGGCGAATCAAGCAGCTGGAGACTCAGGGAAGACTTGTTTGCACAAGGGTTCAATCAAGGAAAAGATGACCGTCAACAATCCGAGCAGCTTGAAAAGCTGCGCACTTCGGTCTTCGCAAAATGGCATCTGATGTCAGGGGAGTACGCCACGTTCCTCTGCTTCTGCTGGAACCTGAGGCGGAATCGCAAGCAGAAGCCAACGCCTGACCCCTGGACCGACATGAGCTCACTTTAAGCGCGTGGGTTCGCTCTTCAGAGCTTCGTGCTGAGGCCTGGCCAGAAGGCCATCGACATGATGGGCATGGAGGAAGCGGAGGTCAAAGTCCAGGCCGTGCTACCGGTAAAACTCAGATTTTTGTTTGCCTTGGTTCGGGCAAAGCGAAACGCACTTTGGGCAGGAATTACGGGAGTCTTTCGTTCCAAGCCAGCGGCAGCCTTAGCAAGCGGTTCTCACAAGCTGGGCATTTTGCCGTGCGATGGATTCGGCGCAGCTTGAGCAAAGGAGCTTCGCCCTGGGACAACTCGAATCTAAAGGCCAGCGCACCGGAATTAGACCAAGATGAGGCTCCATTGATAAGAAGCTGGGAGGTGTTCTGGTTCGCATCCACGACGGGATCGCCTCCAAAACTAGGACACCCCCGGACACCCCTGCTTGTTGGAGTGCCTTGTCTGCTCCTCTCCTCCTCCTTTGCGCCTTTGTTGCTGAGAGGAAGCACATCTGCTTCAACTTCAGGGCCGCCAACGAAGGCCCAAGGGCCCCCGGGGGCTTGCACCGGAGGACTTGCCTTCCTTCAGACTTCACAGTCCTCAGCTCTTCGATTCTATTCTCTGCTCTTGACCCTTTGCAACTTGTCAGCCCGCGCTTGACAATGCCACACTCCGCCGACTGCTTGCTGTTGATGGTGGATGCAGCGTCAATTGCGAGTGCTTGGCCTTGGACGGCCCGGAGATGAAGAGGGCCACCCTGCCAGGTTTCGATGTCCAGATCTTCGTTCCGAAGGCCAAGCTGAAAGAGGCGGAAGATCGGATCCTCAAGGAGCCGGCTCCTCAGTCCGGAGAGAGCGCGGCAAGAGACAGAGGATAGAGAGAAGAAGAACAGAGAGCAGGAGAGCACAGCAACAGAGAGATAGAGAGAGAGAGAGAGAGAGATCTTGTTGCAGGGCGGACCGACCTCCACTCTTCAAGACTTTCACGAACAGAGGTTTGAAAACCCTGGAAATACGCTACATCATACATAAGGCTTTTAAGCTACAGTTCCAGGGGGACAAACTTGCTTTCACACTCCTCCAAAGTCCCCACAAAGCATGGGGGGGCCCTAGTCGCCGAGGGGTCTTAACAACCCCTCATGCCCGGCAGAAGAAGAGCACCAGCCACAGCAATGGCTGTGCAGGGTCGCACAGGCGGCCGGACCTACAGGGCTTGGAAGGCTGTAAGAAGAAGAAGTTGTTGGGCGACTTGTTCGAGCGCGAATGCTCGAAGAAGAAGAAGAAGAAGAGGAAGGAAGGAAGACAACACGTCGACATGTGTGCGCACCTGCATGCCCCAGCGATAGACAAAGAGGCGAGTGCCGAGCTCGGTACAGCACTGGGTATAGTACTCGAGGTTCCACATTTCGAGGCAGGAGATTGAAGACTTGGAGGTGCGCCAATGTGCTGGTGACAGTTTTCCTATGAATACTTCCGCTGGCTCGGGCTAGCTTTGGTTGGAGCTGTTCGTTGAAGTAACTTCAGATGTCTCCGGCGTCTGTGGTCGCCTCTATGCACGCTGGGTTCAACATGGTTCGCCTGTGCACCGGTGACGATGCTGAAGCTGCGATCTGTGATTCTGCAGCCGCAGTGGCCCCTGAGCGCGACATGTAAGTGTGTCATGCCTTGTCAGCAACCACTTGAAGCTTGCTGGCGACAAGGACGACAAGCCTCGTAGCTGAAGTTCTGTGCCACATAGATCCATGTCACATGTAACGTATTGTAACAAGCTGCAGCACCAAGCTTGGAGCAAAACAGCTCGCGCTCGAGCTCAAAACAGCCCTCGGCCAAACCTGCGCAAGTGCCGAAGAGCCTCCGGCCACAAGTGCCAACAACGATGCTCCATCCAATGAGCCACAGCAAGCAACAGGACTTTCTCAGTGTCCAGTTGCCGGGCGACGCGAGGGATGACCGCTGTTGCGAGAGGACCTGGCGCTGGGATTGCAGAAGGCTTCGGCACTCTTTGAATCGCGATTGCGACAGATGGAAGCGGCCAAGGACGCCGGCAGCAAGAACCTTGCAGCCTCGCAGGGTCGGATCTTGCAGCTGCCGTTGAACTGCATGTCACAGGATCAGGAGCTGGCTACGCTGCGGGAGAGGGCCAGTGCTGCACTCCGCCAGGCTCTGTGGAGCGTGTGCAAGGAGACTGCATATCTGATCTGACCCCCATTTTCTTGTGGGCAGGTCGAAGAGCAGCGCGCTCTGGAAGTTCAGGGCCTGGTCCGGTCCCTTTGGCATAAAATTCACCTAAGCCACACTGTCTGTTGACACAGTCCAATCGCTTGTTTGCGAAGGCAGCTGGAGCAGGAGCGAGCAGCCCGGGATGCAGCTCAGTACCACATCGAGAGCTTGCAGAAGCTCAGCTGGACTATGACTATGGGCTATAAGGGCATAGGCGCTTTGAGACTTCAGGCTTGTTCTGCCGGCCCGTTATCATCCCATCACCCCATCATTTCATGATCTCTTTCACGAGGAGGATGGTCGAAGAGCTGCGGCAAGAGGCCTCGGATCGACCCTCGGAGGCGGCTTCCCGGCTTTCGGTGATCAGGACATGTCTTTGTCGGGGAAGGGGGGGCATATTGTTGCGCAGACGCTTGGCGTTTGCTTGAAGCAGGTGCTGCCATTTTGACAGCAATAACTTGGCATCAACCGGATTATACCCGCTTTAGGGGTTTGGACCTTGCACGAAAACTGGGATATACCGTAGTTGGTGTTTTGCTTTGGCTACAGTTAGGGGCCTTAGTCACATCAGTTTGTGCTGGAAGATGCTACCAGCAACTACTGGGCAGATGCGATGGGGTCACATCATGGTCACATCACCCAGGTGCTTACTAGCAGGAACGGACGTATAGAGTGTCAAAAGTATGGAGACAAGTACTGCGGAAATTGTGTAAAACACCACACTTACGAGGGATTTCGAATGCCGCGCCCAGGCGCACGAGACTTGAGGCAAATCACGAAGACTTCAAGACAACCAGCCGTTCCCCATGTAGACGCACGTTTTCAGAAGCACCCGCTCAACAGAAACAGCCGTAGAATCGCAGCACTTCAAAACCAGCCATTCCCCTAACTGCACGCTCGATTTCCGCAGCACCCGCTCAAGGCACACATCATTGGCATCACAGCGCAACCAGCCATTCCTCATGTACACGCTCGATTTCAGAAGCACCCCATTCACGACAGAAGTGCAGTTGTCTCACGAGGATTTGAGGAAAACCAGCCGTTCCCCATGTAGACGCCCGTTCTCAGAAGCACCCGCTCAACAGAAACAGCCGTAGAATCACAAGCACCAATCGCCCGTCGATTGGAGCGAAGCCAAATTGGCTCAGCAGAAGCAGTGGGTGCACATGAATAGCGCAACAACTTCTACATTTCAGAGAAGCATGTGCATTCATGAAACACCATCCACTCTACCGGTTTCGTGTTGCATACAACTTCCGAACCGCTGAACCCTTCCGAGGACACTCATAATCCCAGTACTTGCTGCCCAAGCAAGCATATTTGCTTGCAAATGTGCTCCTACGCATTTTTGTCGTTGCATTTCGCGTTTTTTTTGATGCTTCCCCCATCTGCACACACGCGACGACTGGGGTCGCTGCAAAGTCATTGCATTTGCCGTTCCCGCAAGAGCACACCCCGTGCACACCGTCCCCTAAGAGTGAACCACGGACCCCGAAATGCATGCACTTATACCTGCGTGCTGCGGTTCGTTGTTCCAGCCTTCTGCGGGGGACAGGTGAAGAACGGACCCTGAGATGCATGATCTTATACCTGCGTGCTGCGGCTCGGTTTTTGCAGCCTTCTGCAAGTGCACACCTCGGGGGACAGGTGAAGAACGGACCCTGAGATGTATGATCTTATATCTGCGTGCTGCGGAGCGTTTTTGCAGCCTTCTGCAAGTGCACACCTCCGGGGACAAGTGAAGAACGGACCCCGAGATGCATGACTTAACCCGCGTGCTGCTGTTGGTATTTGCAGCGATCTGCTGGCTCGGGAGCCTGGCAGGGGTCTAAAATTGTGTGGTGAGTGGTGCAATTCGCGTAAGCTGCGCGTAAACAGTGCGTAAGCGGCGCCCTCCGTTGCCAACCCAGAGCCCAGCAGGAGGAGTGGCAGTGACGCAGTGACAGTCGCAGTGGTAGCAGTGGCAATGGCAGCGGCAGTGGTCGTGGTGGCAGCAGCAAGCAGCAGCAGGAGGAGGAAGAGCAGCAGAAGAGTAATACCAGTGCTTGGAAAGCAGTTTTAGGCTTGATGTCCAAAGCCTCAATGGCCATTTAAGAGCCATTCCCAATTTCACAAGCATGCCTACGAGGCACATCAGTCATATCGGTGGCATAGCGCATCAAACCCAGTCGATCCCCATGTAGACACTCGATTTCACAAACAGGCGCTCAAAAAACACCTCAGACATCAGTGGCATCGCAGCAAACACCAAATCAAAACTAGCCATTCCCCATGCAGACACTCGATTTTGCAAGCAGCCGCTCAAGAAAAACATCAGTGGCATCACAGCAAAGAGCGCATCAAAACCAGCCATTCTCCATGTAATCGCTCCATTTTGCAAGCAGCCGCTCAAGAAACATATCAGTGGCATCACAGCAAACAGCGCATCAAAAGCACCCGTTCCCCATGTAGACGCTCGATTTTGCAAGCAGCCGCTCAAGAAACACATCAGCGGCATCACAGCAAACAGCACATCAAAAGCACCCTTTCCGCATGTAGACGCTCGATTTTGCAAGCAGCCACTCAAGAACCACCTCAGACTTCAGTGGCATGGCAGCATAAAGCAAACAAAGCCAGCCTTTCTAGTTTACCAGCATATCCCAGGATCCCGATTGACGCGCTTTAGCAGAATATCCAACTGCACACTGGACCTGGGACGACTTAGGGCCGGGACCCTGGAGCAAACAAACACCGCAGATCATCATCTTGAAAGCCTTTCCCCCATGTGCACACCGAAACGCAACGACTCCGCGACAAAGCTTCCCACGAAGGTCTGGCGCTGCCACGAACGAAGCGCAACGACTTTAGCAACTGGGAGTAGTTGTTTCTTGCAACATGAGTATTTTGGGTATGCTTTCCCCCAACTACACGATGATTGGGTCGACTTCCTGAAATGCTTCCCGCAACTGCTTGCTCGATACAGATAGAAATGGTCAACTTTCCGGTTCTGTACGAAATATAGCAAACACCAAGTACTTGCATGGATTCAAGACGAGTTGATGCGACCCTCCCCGGACCCTTTCCCTCAACTACTTGCATGGATCACATGAAATCGATGCGACTAAGGACGCTGACTGTAGGCAGGATGCAACTAGGCCCCCTCAGTCCCTCCGAGCGAAAGCAGGAATGCAAACATCTTTCAATATGTTCGACTGCAGTGTCATGGGTGTGTTCTCGTATCATATCCGAGGGTCTGGTGCTGTTTGGCTGTGTGTTTGTCACTCGTCATTTGAGTTCTATTCTAGTCGTGGCAGTTGGTTGCTCTTCCTGAACTCTGTGACAAGGGCCTTGCTCGACCTGCCAATTACTGCGCCTGCTCGCGCCGCCGGTCTTCTGCTTCCGAACAATGCGCAACGCCAACTGGGACTCTGACAAGAAAGTGCGAGGAGCCTCCGGCAGTCACACCTGTTTGCTTCTGCAGGCTGAAGCCTTCCGTTTGCGAGATCAGTCAAGGCAGCTCCGTGAACAGTGCCCAACTCGGAGCAGACGCCGGTTTCAAGATGTGAGAAGAGTTGAATGTTCTCGACAGGTCGCCAGCTGTTCTCCACCCCCAGACTTCCAGCATGGCCTCCCAAGATTAAAGAATTGAGGCTGGCCGAGACGGAGTCCAGTCTGAGAGCTTCGCGAAAAGGCTTGGAGGAGGGGAAGCGGAAGTCTCGTGCACACTCCCATGTCATGTCCAGATCATCCCAGACCTTTTCATCTGTCTCGAATGCGACTTTGAGTTCTTGTGGCTTGGAGGATGCACAGTCCGCCCAAGAAAAGCTACAGGAGAAGTTGCGAAAGGCAGAGCGCCAGTTGAAAGAGAAGGCCGGCTGACGAAGTAGGAAGGAGCCTCCAGCATGCAAATCTGAGACTTTTCACCGCCGCAACTTTGCAGGCCGCAGTGCCGAGTCAAGCTCAGTTGTCGGGACACTTCGCGCTGTTGAGGCTTTTGAACGTGCATGGCTTCGTGTGTTTTGCATTGAGGGCTCTCCCGGTCCTCGATCCAGTGCCGAGAAGTCTCCCAGCAGAGGCAGAGTGATCCTTAGGCTATTCTTGACCTCTTGCTGCGCTGGGCCGTGGTGGCAGGCTGTCCAGCGGTCATCCGTGCCGGAGCCGTTGGGACTCAGCAGTTCGTTGTGGAGTTTCCTGTTCGTTCCTGGTCACTTTGGAGAATCGACGGGTGCTTGGT